TCGCCCGTAAGGGCTGAGAATGGCGGTCAATAAGTACATCAAATAAATAAATAAATAAATAAATAAATAAATTCGGCTGCCACCCACTGGACCATTACTAGTATTAATATGATTGCAAAGGTTGGATAGTCATCTGTTGGGGGTGCTTTGATTGTGCTTCTCCTGCATAGCAGAATAAAAGGGGCTGGATTGGATGGCTCCTGGGCTTGCTCCTATTAGCATTATTGCAAAGGCTGAATTGCCATCTGTTGGGTGTGCTTTGTTTGTGCTTAACCTACATGGCAGAATAAAGGAGGCTGGAGTGCTTGCTCCATCCATGTTCAATATCTACACAAATGACCAGCCACTGCCAGACATGTGCCTTTCATCTCAAGAACAGACAAGCATCCTGAGCTCTGAGGATGACCTGGGAAGGAATCCCACTGGAGCATTGCAACACACCCAAATACCTGGGAGTCTCTCTGGACTGTGCTCTGACCTACAAGAAGCACTGCCTGAACATCAAGCAAAAAGTGGGTGCGAGAAACAATATCCTACGAAAGCTGACTGGCACAAGTTGTGGATCACAACCAGACACAGTGAAGACATCCGCCCTTGCGCTGTGCTACTCTGCTGCTGAGTATGCATGCCCAGTGTGGCACACATCTCACCACACTAAAACAGTGGATGTGGCTCTTCATGAGACAGGCCGCATTATCACAGGGTGTCTGCGCCCTACACCACTGGAGAAATTACACTGCTTAGCCGGTATTGCACCACCTGACATCCGCCGGGAAGTAGCAGCCAATAGTGAAAGGACCAAGGCAGAGACATCTCCAGCTCATTCCCTGTTTGGGTATCAGCCAGCACGTCAATGACTTAAATCTAGAAATAGTTTTCTAAGATCTACAGAGACACTCGCTGGAACACCTCAGCAATTGAGAGTCCAAAAGTGGCAGGCTCAAACCCAGAACAACAATCTTTTAAAGACTCCCCCTGGGCACACAGAAGACTGGGCGACTTGGAAGGCGCTGAACAGACTGCGCTCAGGCACCACGAGATGCAGAGCCAACCTCAAGAAACGGGGCCACAAAGTGGAATCCACCACATGCGAGTGCGGAGAAGAGCAAACCACTGACCACCTGCTGCAATGCAATCTGAGCCCTGCCACATGATGAACAATGGAGGACCTTCTTGCGGCAACACCAGAGGCACTCCAAGGGGCCAGAGACTGATCAAAGGACATTTACCCTATAATCTTTACATATCACCTGTCACACCAGCATTTTTTAATTCTGTATCCATTACTCTGGCCTGGCCCAGTTTTATAGTGTCTTGATGTATTGTTTATTGCTTGTTGTTTAATATTGCTTTAACTGTTTTAAATTTGTTTTAGGTGTTGTATTGTTGTGTTTTGAGGCCTTGGCCTTTGTAAGCTGCATTGAGTCGTACGGGAGATGCTAGCGGGGTACAAATAAAGATAATAATTAGGTTTTTGTGGGTTTTTTTGGGCTATAGGGCCATGTTCTAGAGGCATTTCTCCTGACGTTTTGCCTACATCTATGGCAAGCATCCTCAGAGATAGTGAGGTCTGTTGGAATTAGGACAATGGGTTTATATATCTGTGGAATGGCTGGGGTGGGGCAAGGAGCTCTTCTCTGCTGGAGCTAGGTGTGAATGTTTCAACTGACCACCTTCATTAGCATTTGAAGGCCTGGCTGAGCCTGGGAAAAACTTCTGGTGAGAGGCGTTAAGATGTGCCTGGTTGTTTCCTCTCTGCTGTTTTGCTGTTGTAATGTTAGAGTTTTTAAATCTTGATAGCCAGATTTTGTTCATTTTCATGGTTTCCTCCTTTCTGTTGAAATTGTCCAAATGCTTGTGGATTTCAATGGCTTCTCTTGTGTAGTTTGACATGGTGGTTGTTGGTGTGGTCCAGCATTTCTGTGTTCTGTGGAACTCTCTGCCCCGGAGTGTGGTTGAGGCTCCTTCTTTGGAAGCTTTTAAACAGAGGCTGGATGGCCATCTGTCAGGGGTGATTTGAATGCAATATTCCTGCATCTTGGCAGAATGGGGTTGGACTGGATGGCCCATGAGGTCTCTTCCAACTCTTTGATTCTATGATTCTCAAAAAATATGCTGTGTTCAGGCTGGTTCATCAGGTGCTCTGCTATGGCTGACTTCTCTGGCTGAAGTGGTCTGCCGTGCCTTTCGTGTTCCTTGATTCGTGTTTGGGCAATGCTGCTGCGTTTGGTGGTCCCTCTGTAGACTTGTCCACAGCTGCATGCTTGCCATAGATGCAGGCGAAATGTCAGGAGAAATGCCTCTAGAACAGTGGTTCTCAACCTGTGGCTCCCCAGGTGTTTTGGCCTACAACTCCCAGAAAGCATAGTATACGTTCTATTAAAGCTCAGAATGAATTCCTCCTTCCTTATTGCAAGCTGTGCTCCATCCCTTGACTGAATGTCCTCCTCCCAGAATATTTGTGGTCATCTTGACTGCTTTTCACCTGGTGGATCTGCTCATCCTTCTCTTCAACCAGATTCATAATCTCTTAGCTATTCATCGTGAAGCCACGTCCAAGGTACAAGGGTCCAGTGGGGCAGAGATGCGGAAACTCAGCCTTTTTCAAAAGATGGTACTCCTGATAAATGTCCTTTTTGATGCTCTGAATCGGTGCTCCTCAACCTTGCACATTTGGCTCCCACCATTCCTGGTCATTGCAGTTTCTGGTTGCTGGAGTCCAAACTATCTGGAGGACCAAGAACTTAGAATGAGTGCTATAAAATGGAGCAAATGGGAGGGAGGAATAGGATTCTGGGGGCACCCCAGAGGTCCAGGGCTTAGGCTCTGGGAACTGAAACTGCAGAGGGCGGGCGGGAATTTTGAAACTGTTTCCCTTTGTCTGCACACTATAAAAATGCTTGGAAATTCTGT